GCTTGGCCTCTGCCCGCCGACATCACTGAGATACCGGGGCCCGCCGAGTTGTGTAGAGCCATGGCGCACACACAACTCAATAAGGCTAGTGGCCCCGATGGCCTCCCCGGCGAAGCCTTCAAAGCCCTACCTGCGTCCCTCTCCTCTTTGGTCCTGCCCTTAGTCCTCAAATTGGGTCTCTTGGGCGAAGAGGGTGCCGGCTTGAAAGGTGCTCTTCTGACCTGGTTATATAAGTTCAAGGGTGCGCGAAACCTTTGCACTTCGTACAGGGCGATTATGCTTCTGCCGACCTTAACTAAAGTTATCCACCGTTCCTTCCGCCCCCGTCTGTGTGAGCATGTTGTAGCGCATGCCCCCCCCTTGCTGCTAGGTGGGCGCAAAGGGGCATCGGCGGTCTTTGGGAGCCATCTGACCCGGGCTTTCGTACAGTGGTGCTCGGTACATAAACAGCCCGCATGCATCCTGTACGCAGACGTTGCTTCTGCCTATTATAATTCCGTGCGTGATATCACAGCCCAACGCCTGGATGTGGACGGGCGCCCTGTTGACTCTCTCGCCGTGGCAAATCTTCCTGCTGATGTCAATGTGGCGGACGCACTAGCATCAGGAAGTGCCTTTCGCTCCAATGGGGCGTCACCCTGGCTCGAATCACTGGCCGCCGAAATGCACCGCGGGTCTTGGTTTGCGTTGCGCGGTGACCACATTCCTGTGGTCACCCACCGTGGCTCGAGGCCTGGATCATCGCTCGCTGACATTATGTACAGCGCCGGAGTCGGCTGCATCCTTGCGAAGCGTGATGCCCTTCGCACTGCTGATCCCACTGCGGGCCGAGTTCCCCGCATCCCGTGGGACGGCCGACGGGACATTTCTCCCGCTGATGCTCCTACGCAATGGCCAAGCCTGAGTGAGGTTATCTGGGCGGATGACCTTGCCGAGTTTTTCCTGTTGTCCGACTCAGCCCGTGCCGCACACCAGGTTGGACTAGAGGCCTCCTTTTTGGACGAGGCCTTTGGTAGCCACGGGTACACTTTGACCTACGGCACCTCTAAGACCGCTGCCATGGTTCTGCTCGGCGGCCGTGGGTCCAAGGCTGCTAAGCGGGCCCTTTTCGGGCGCGCTGGTGTGATCACGGTTGTGCGAGAGCACCACCCTGCGGCCTCCCTTCCTTTGGTGGCTCAATATAAGCACCTTGGGGTTATGGTCGGTACGTCTTTCCTTACCGAGCTTCGAGCCAGGTGTGCCTCCGCGTGGGCTGCTTTTCGTCAAGGGCGTGTGCGGGCCTACCGGTGTCGTCGTATTTCTGTTGCCCGAAGGGGAGCACTCCTTCGTGCCATGGTGCTCCCGAGACTCCTCTTCGGGGCTGGTGCGTGGCCATCCTTGCGACAAGGAGAGCGCACTTTATTCCACAGAACCCTTGTCTCCATGTATCGGCAGACCCTGTGTATCCCTCGGACCGAAGATCAACACATCACAGGGGCCACTATGTGCGCTCTTCTACACCTGCCAGACCCCACTACGGTGCTCCGTGTCGAGCGCCTTCGCTATTTGCGCCAGATGGTTCAAGCCGCGCCTGACGCATTGTGGGCCCTCGTGAGGTCCAGCCCCTCTTTTCTTGCCGAAATCAGGGAAGCCGTTGAATGGTTGTACCGTAGGCTGTCAGCTACCATCCCCCTTGGGGACCCTGCAAGCGACTGGCATGCTTGGACGAACATTATGTGCCGAACTCCCGGGCGTTTTCGCGGCTGGATCAAGCGTGCCGCAGCACTCGAGTTACTTCGGCTTACCTCTCATGCTGCCCTTCAAGCTTGTCATCGCTTTCTCTCTCATTTCTGCCTTGAAGGCGAGGCCCTTTGTTTGGAGAGACAGCGTCCTACAGAGGCCTGCTTACCGTGTCGCAAAGCCTTTGCTGATCGCGTGTCCTGGGCCTGTCACGCTAGTAAGGTGCACGGGTACCGTACCCGTGCTACCGAGACGACCCGGGGATGCCAGCAGGCTTGGTGCAGTGGCTGCGGCAAGCT